TCTGCCAGCCGTGACCTGTCCTGCTTGCCGTCCAGTTGGCCTGAGAGAGCACCCCGCAAACCTGGCCAGGGCAGGTGGCTCAGGCCTGGGCCACGGACCCAGGGCTGCCACTGGAAGCATGCTGGGTCCAGTAAGGCTTGATTACGACCCACTTCTCTATGTCTGTTTGAATTAAATATTAACTATATATTAGGTAAAAAAGAATGCTTACAAAATACACATGAGATATATAGAACTATGCTGTAACAAACACCAGTGTACCTACCAGCCAGTTTTTTAAACTTTGTCATCTCTTATGTGTATCTCCCCAAATTCTATCCATTTCCTCTCCTTTTCTATTCCAAACTTTGGGTAGATTATTCCCTTGCTTCTCTTTATTGTTTCCATATATGTCTGATTCCCTAAATGATCTATTGTTTAATTTTGAAGAGGAGTCATAGTGCATGTGCCTAAGTGTAGCTCTTTTTGTCTCTTTATCCTGCACTCAGGATCACCTGTTCAGATCTTTCTTCTGTTAGTTGACTCTTTTCAACTGTTTCTAATCCATAAAGCCCATCTATGGAATTTCTAATTTCCAATTATATATTTCATTTATTGAGGTTCTGTTTATTCTAGTCATTTCATTTAAGTAACTTATTTATGTTTTCTAAGACTTTTTTTTGTCTCTCACTATTATTTCAATGAAAACTATTCTGCTAGACACAGTTTTTACACTATTATGACATTGTAAGTTTGGGAAACTCACGCTAGCATTAAGAGAGCTAGTTTGAACATATAAACAGGCACTTTCATAGTACATAGGAAAATGAATAAATAATGGTTACCTCAAGAAAGAAAATCTAGGAAACATGTCCCAGAAGAGTGGGAATATATTCTTGGTGGGTACTGTGGTTCTCAATACCATGAGTTAAGATGTAGAAGGGGGAAATTAGAATTAGAAGTGTTCTCCAGTTACAATGTCTTATTCACTGGTACTGGAGTGGCCTATGATGAAATCTAAAGTCTTTGTTTCCCACTAACCTGCCATCCTGTGAGAGGCAGAAACATAGAATTCAGATTATGAAAATATTCTGTACTCTAATGATTGCTGGAGTCACAATATATGTATAAAAATGCTCGTTTTGGAAAACCATAGTTTGAGCTGATCTGTGGCCTCATAGTATATTTGGAAATAAAGGAATAAGGATTTTTAACAGCCATGGAAATACCATATGCATGTGTGATCTGAGGATGTTTTAAGGGCAAAATTTTCTATCAACAACAACAAAAAAAAAACATTAAAAAATCACCTTGGTTATTTCTTGCTCTGTTACACATGGTACATAATGTGGTCCATTCCATGGTGCAGAATTTCAAGATTTTGTTACTTCTTTTTTACTCCATTGTAAATACCACCTTATTTTTCAAGTACAAGTTCATAATGAAAATATATTGGTTACTTACCAGTTGCCAATTGCATATATGAAAATATCTTTCTTAAATAGTAGTTCTTTTTTTTTTTTTAGCTCAGACAATGTTTAAATAAGATTTTTCACTAAATCATTGATCTTGCTTCAAAGTATCCAATTATGCTGTGAACTTCTTTTTGGCCACAAAACAAGTCTTAATACATTTAAAAAGACTAAGATCATAGAAAATATGTTTTCTGACCACAATAATAGAAGGAAATGTAGAAAATTCACAGATGTGTGGAAATTAAACAACATCCTCCTAAATAAACAATGGTTAAAAAGAAAAATCACAGGGAAATTAGAAAGTACTTTAAGATAAAAATCAAAGCACAACAAATCAAAACTTATAGGATGCAAGGCTCATGCAGTGCTTAGAGAAAAATTTATACTTGTAAACACCTGTTTTAAAAATAAGTAAAACCTCAAATCAGTAATGTAAACTTCTACCTTAAGAAAATAGAAAAAGAAGAGCAAACTAAACCAAAAAGAAATTAAGTAGGAAATAACAAAGATTACAATAGAAATATGTGAAATAGGGAATTAAAAAAAAATAAAGAAAATCAACAAAACCAAAAGTTCAAGGGCTGGGTCGTGGCTCACTTGGGAGAGTGCGGTGCTGATAACACCAAGGCCACGGGTTCGGATCCCTGTATAGGGATGGCTGGTTACTCACTTGGGAGAGTGTGGTGCTGAGGACACCAAGTCAAGGGTTAAGACTGGTCATCTTTTAAAAAAAAAATTTATTCTTTAAAAAGATCAACAAAAATTGTAAACCTTTATCTAGAATGACCAAGAAAAAGAGAAGACCAAAATTACTAAAATCAGAAATAAAGCGGGAGCATTATTACATTGTCATTATGATTTTTTGTGGTAGTAAGATTTAGTTTCTCTTTCTCATTTTCATTTTTGTTCTACTAGTGGGTTTTGTTTTTTCTTGTGTATTTGTGGTAGTGATCATCATTTTTTGGATTCCAGATGCAGGACTTCCTTGAGGATTTCTTGTAGGGCTGGTCATGTGGTGATGAACTCCTGCAGTTTTTGTCTGTCTGGAAAATACTATTTTTCCCTCACTTTGGAAGGATAGCCTTACTGGGTATAGTATTCTTGGCCGGTAGTTTTTTTCTTTCAGTGTTTTGATATATCATCCCATTTTCTTCTGGCCTGTAGAGTTTCTGTTAAGAAGCCTGCTGTAAGTCTGATAGGGGATCCCTTATAGGTGACTTGATGCTTTCCTCTTGCTTCTTTTAAGATTCTCTCTTTGTCTTTGAGCTTTGCCAGTTTGGCTATAATGTGTCTTGGAGAGGATCTTTTTGGGTTGAATCTGTTTGGGGGTCTTTGAGCTTTCTGGATTTGAAGGTCCATGTCTCTCCCTATATTCGGGAAGTTCTCTGTTATTATTTCATTGAATAGGTTTTTCATGCCTTTTCCTTTCTCCTCCGCTTCTGGTACACCCATGATTCGAATGTTTGTGCACTTAAGGTTGTCTCCTAGCTCTCTTGGATTTTCCTCATTTTTTAAAATTCTTTTTTCTTCTTTTTTTTTGAGGGGGGGTCTGCCTGGCTTATTTCAAAAAGACGATCTTAAAGATCAGAAATTCTCTATGTCCTCATTTTATGTCCTATTTTTCAGATTAACTTTTATTTTATCAAAGTAATCATGTTTCTTTCTCATGACATTATGTTTTTGAGATTCATCCATGATGAAGTGTGTATATTCATTTTCTCGGCTGTCCTCCGTGTGGACCTGGCACCGTGTTATGTGCTTGAGAATGCAGTGGGAAGACAGGTGCAGTTCCTACCCTGATGGAGTGCCAGGTGTAGCAGGAAAGAAAGGGATCAGGTGGGCTAGGAGGAAGCAGAGCCCTCAGAAGGAGAAGGCCACATCTCCTAGAAGATGAGAACCTTAAGGCTGAGTAGAAGCGGCCTGAGTGAGGAAACTGCCCCGGTGTTATAGGTGATGCCTGCAACACAGTTGATAAGTGGTTGCCTTGATTTCATGGCATGATGTCAGGCTTTCTCTGGACCCATACATCAAGTCACAGATGGACCTGGTGTTGGCCAGTCAGTGGCACATGAACACATCATAGGAGGTGGTGGCATCTGAACCCTAAGCGGTGAGACTCATAGGTATTGGAGTCGCTGATAATCAGAGCTCACGTGGTTGAGTGTGTGGTTAGTTGGCTCCCGCCTCTGTCCTGTCTATCCCTGGTCACCTGAGTCCTTCCTCGCTTGTGGCGCCTGCATAGGGAGCTTCAGGAGTGTGGCAGGAGCATGTGTGCCAGGGCTGTGGTAGGTGTTGGCATTGTTGTTGCTGGGTTCTGTGCTCCATGTTCTCTGGGTGTTGTTTCCTTTTACCCTCACAATAAACTTGTCATCTGCCAACTTGACGTGTCCACCTGGATGTCCTGAGCTTAAATATGCCTAAATCAGAACTCATGGTCTTCCCTCCAACAAACTGTTCCTCTCCCAGTCCCTCCATCTCTGTACATGCCACCACTGCCCACCCTACGGCTTAGGCCCCGATTCTAGGAGTCGCCTCTGCTTCCTTCCTGCTCACGCTCACACGTGGCAGCTAGTGCAGTCAGTTCTGACTCCAGAGTGGATCCTCCACTCCTTCCAGCTCCTGTGCTGCCACTTTGGTCAGGTCCCACTGTCTCTGCTCTGGACACCTGTGTAACACCCCTGCCCCCTCCCTCGCTTCTCTGACCATCCTCCCCACAGCGGGCCAGGGATCCATTCTGAATTTAGATCAGGTAGGTCTTCTGCTTTTAACCTTCCAGTGGCTTCCCCAAGAGCTTAGAAGGTCCAGCTTCCTCACCTTGTCCTCCAAGCCCCTGAGCTACTATGCAGCTCATCAACCATTTCCTGCCTCCTGCCCACCTTTGCCCAGCCCCTCATGTGCCGAGCTCTTTCCTGCTCAGGGTTGTTGCATTTGGAGGCCCTCCCCTTCTGCTGAAATGTCCCTCCCAGCTTTTCACAGGGCTAACTCTTGAGGTATCAGAAAGGCCTTCCTGTTATCCTCCATCACAATCGGCTTAGAGTCTCGTTTACTTTTTTCTCCTTCCCACTTTCCCTCCCTCCCACTTCCCTGCATGTTGTTGTGTGCACTTGGTAACGGGGTGGCATTTCTTAGCACCATTTAATGGCGGATGTAGGAACAAAGGTCAGGTCACTTGCCCATGGTCACACAGGTAAGCAGCAGTTAGCCTGCAGAGCCCAGCCTCGCCACGATGTGCAGCCTCCCACAGGCCAGAGCCCAGAAGCGGTGGGCAGCGGCCGGTCAGGTATCCGCAGATGCATCTGGCGAAGCCTTCCCCATGCAGATTCCTGGGTCAGCACAGGGATTTGAACCCTGCTCTTAGAATAGTTCTTGTTGAACAGTGCTGGCTCCAGGACACCCTCCTCCTCTCTCCTGCTGCGGTTTGCTCTGGTATGCGTCATTTCCATACGCTGTCTGGATGGGCAGTGAGGGTGCCAAGACAGGTGTGCGAGTTGGGGGTGCACCAGCCCCTCCTCACTACTTCCACCTCCCTCACCTCCTTGTGTGCAGGTCGCACTGGCTTCTATGAGGAGTATGGCGTCATTCGCGACATCCTCCAGAACCACCTGACCGAGATCCTCACCCTTGTGGCCATGGAGCTGCCGCGCAATATCAGCGACTCCACAGCAGTGCTACAGCAGAAGCTGCAGGCCTTCCAGGCCCTGCGGGTCCTGCAGAGGGGCAGCGCCGTAGTGGGCCAGTACCAGGCGTACAGCGAGCAAGTGCGCACAGAGCAGCAGAAGCCAGACGGCTTCCGCAGCCTGACGCCAACCTTCGCAGGTGGGCTCTGGGGCTGGGCGTTGGCTGCTGGGCTGCCCACCTGGCCAGAAGCAGCTTTCCAAACCCAGATGCCCTTTGGTTTGGGGTGGAAGGGGCTTGAGGTGGGATTTTTACTGGGTGCTCAGTGGCAAGAATGGAGTTCATCTGCCCCTCTGGCCTTCTGCCAGCTCAAAGTAGCAGGTCACCTGTTGGTGCTTTCTGGGCAAAGGGCATCCACTGGTGTTCTTCTAGCATCAGCCTCAGCTCAGTCCAAGTCCAAAGTTCCTTCCTGAGGCTTGCCATGCCAGCGCAGACCTGGGTCTTGCCCTCATGGGGCTTACTGCTAGCCTCCAAGTGAGGCTGCAAACCTGCCTGGCCACAGCTGGAGACCTGCCAGCGGGCAAGCCCCACGCTGGTCAGTAGATGCCCACCAGAGCTGTCCTCTGGACAGTGGCAGGGGCTCAGAGTGTTCTGGGAGAGAGCCACCACAGCCAGGGCAGCCACTGCTCATGGAGAACACGCCGTATGCCAGCACTTCATGTGCATTATCACACGCACATGCCTGCGGCAGTACGATCACCCCATTTTATAAGCAAGCAAACGTGAGCCTTGTGGTTATGAAGACTACCGGGCATGGAACTCAGGCATGGCATGTAGACTGCATCTGGCTCTGACCACCTCCCACCCCACCCCCCAGTCCTCCCCACCCTGCGGCCCCTGGCCCCTCCCAGCCCCCACCCCAGAGTCCTCCTCACCCTGCAGCCACCACCCTTCTGGCCTCTGAGTGCCCTGGCTCTTCAGGCACGTCCTGAGAGTGCCACAGGCAGGAGGGAGGCCTCTTTCTCTGTAGGACCCCCACCTGCTGCCCGCTGTGAGACGTCCCAGAGGGAGTCTCCAGATGGAGGCCCTCAGCCCCTTCTCCTGCGCATGGGGTCCCCAGTCTAAGAGGTGCTCAAGGCAGGGGGATGGCAAAGTTGCAGAGATGGCCCCAGAGGCTGGCTTTCGAGCCCCAACTGGGAAGAGAAGGTGTTGAAGGGAGGGAAGGTGAGGGTGGGCACAGTGAGGTGAGGGGCTTTCCCAGACACAGGGACGCCCAGCAGGGGAGAGAAGGGCAGCTGGAGGAGGGGCCGGGCCTGGCTCTGTGCAGGAGCCTCACCCTCTGCCCGTCCCCTCAGGCATCCTCGTCCACGTCGACAGCCTTCGCTGGGAGGGTGTTCCCTTCATCCTCATGTCTGGCAAAGCCATGGACGAGAGGGTGGGCTACGTCCGCATCTTGTTCAAGAACCGGGCATATTGTGCACAGAACGAAAAGCATTGGGACCCAGTGCAGAGCCAGTGCCTGCCTCGACAGATCATCTTCTACATTGGACACGGTGAGCTGGGAGGCCCTGCCATGCTGGTCAGTCGGAGCCTGTTCAAGCCCTCCGTGTCCCCCCAGAGCTGGAAGGAAATGGAGGCCCGGCCTGGGCTCCGCCTTTTCGGCCGCCCTCTGTCAGATTACTATGCTTACAGCCCCGTGCAGGAGCAGGACGCCTACTCCGTCCTCTTATCTCATATCTTCCACTGCCAAAAGGGTTCCTTCATTACCACAGAGAACTTGCTGGCCTCCTGGGTCTTCTGGACCCCCTTGCTGGACAGCCTGGCACACGAGGTCCCACGCCTCTACCCAGGAGGGGCCGAAAATGGCCATCTGTTGGACTTCGAGTTCAGCGGCAGCCAGTTGTCCTTTTCCCAGCCTCAGCCGGAACAGCTGGTACCAGGACCAGGAATCACCCCAATGCCCAGTGACTTCCAGGTTCTCGGGGCCAAGTTCCGAGAGAGCCCCCTGGTTGCAGCCTGGCCTGAGGAGCTCATCTCTAAGCTGGCCAATGACATTGAGGCCACAGCAGTGCGAGCAGTGCGGCGCTTTGGCCAGTTCCACCTGGCGCTCTCGGGTGGCTCAAGCCCCATAGCCCTGTTCCAGCAGCTGGTCATGGGGCACTACGGCTTCCCCTGGGCCCACACACACGTGTGGCTGGTCGATGAGCGCTGCGTCCCGCTCTCGGATCCAGAGTCAAACTTCCAGGGCCTGCAGGCTCACCTGTTGCAGCATGTCCGGGTCCCCTACTACAATATCCACCCCATGCCTGTGCACCTGCACCAGCGTCTCTGTGCAGAGGAGGACCAGGGTGCCCAGGTCTATGCCCAGGAGATCTCTGCTCTGGTGGCCAACAGCAGCTTTGACCTGGTGCTGCTGGGCATGGGCACCGATGGGCACACGGCCTCCCTCTTCCCTCAGTCACCCACCGGCCTGGATGGCGAGCAGCTGGTAGTGCTGACCAGGAGCCCCTCTAGGCCGCACCACCGCATGAGCCTCAGCCTGCCCCTCATCAACCGGGCCAGGAAGGTGGCAGTCCTGGTCATGGGCAGGATGAAGCGTGAGATTACCCTGCTGGTGAGCCGTGTGGGCCATGAGCCCAAGAAGTGGCCCATCTCGGGCGTCCTGCCCAGCTCTGGCCAGCTGGTCTGGTACATGGACTACGAGGCATTTCTGGGGTGATGGCACCTCGCCCTTTGCTGACCCATGCTTTCTCTCACCTGTCTCCCTCCCTCCCCTGATCCCACCCCTGGCCCAGCGTGCCCTGCCTCTCTGGAATCTGATGCCCCAGTGTCAGGTCCTAGAGAGGGAAGGACGAGGCCCTGCCCCATTACCTTTGGCCATCATTCTGTCTAGTTGTGGGTGGATGCAGAAACAAGGAAGAAATGGAATCTCTGCTCTCGAGAAGCTTCAAATCCAGGCCAGGAAAGAAACCTTAAGAAGAGACCTACATTAGTTACACATTAATATCAACCAGAACAAAATAAGGTGGTGTGAAAGCTCCCAAGTTCAGAAAAAGGAACATGATGGGCTGAGGTTAATCAGGACAAGTTTCCTGGGGAGGTGATCCTTGAACTGGCTCCCATGGAACACAAGAGCACGACTGGTGGAGAGAAGGGCGCAGAGGCACCCATGGGAGTGCAGTGCCCAGAGCAGAGCAGGAAAGCTGGGAACCATCCAGAGACCTTGAGCCAGCCAAGTCCCTGCTTCCCCCAGCTGTCCCTCTGTCCAGAGCCTCTGCACATTCAGTCCTGTCCTCTCCTCTTCACAGCTGCCTCCTGCCCCCTCCCTGCCTCCTGCCCCCTCCTCACCCCAACTGGAGTAGGATTCCCAGTCCCTCCCCTGTTTCTTTCCTTCCTCTCAGGCTCTCCATTCATAGAGATGAGGGATGATGACAGGGACACAGCAACAAATACCAGAATGTTAAGTAGGTCCCAAAAGTCCTAAGACATCCTCAGTGGACAGGCTGCTATGCACAAGGAGCTGGGGGTCTGGTCCTCAGGGGGGACCCCGCCCTCCGCCTGCACTCCTCTCTAGCCGGTCTCCCTCCACAAAACATGCTGGGGAGAGGTGGTCAGGCTACTCCAGGGATCCCTAATATAAAAGGGTCATTTACATCTCAGGGGACTCCCAGGTGGGTATTTCCACTCTCGGTGGCCTCTCTTGTTTCACCAGGAAAGATGCAGTTAAATCATTCACTGATGGTGACAAATCATTTGGGGGGAGAGATGTGACATCAGATGACACTAGCCCATCCAGGCAGCTCTGATCTGCCCAGACAGGAGTTACGCTTCCAGGCAGGGTAGCTCAGCTCACAGGCAGTGCTGGCTGCCCCCAAGCTTCTCAGGAGCTTTATAGCCCATTCACAGGGCCACGCAGGACAGGCGGCAACCAGCCCTTGTCATACTACCTCTGGCGGCCACAAGCCTGCCACTTCTGTCTCCACCACTGACTGCCTGAAACCTGGGGGAGTAAACAGGCAGCTCCCCTGTACACACAGGTTGGCACTTTGCTCCTGAGAAGCCATGGGCTTGTAATGCCTGTTTCTCTGAAACCCCAAGGGAGTCACTGAAATTCTTTAAAAAAAAAAAAAAAAAAAGCAAAATTCCCAGGACACATGTAATTTTTGCTTTACCTTCCCACAGTCATGCCCTCAAGCTATGACTCAGAAGGACTAAGGTAGATTTTTCTGTGCGACATACCCCCATCTTTAGTCACACTTTGTATTGGGCAAGTACAAAGTTTCAGTGTCATACAGAAATTTCCAAGAGGGCCTTTTTCAGGAGGAACATCATGAAATCTGTCTCTTGATCGTTTATATTTTCTTCAGGGCTATGGATTTACGATAATCTCACTTTCATTTGAGAGGGGTGCACGGAAATGGTGCCGGAGCCGGGGCTTCTGTGAGAGGTGCTCTTGTTGACAGGCTGCTTACCCTGGCCTCCGGCGAGCTGGTCCAGACACACATCTCTCTTTAGACCAAGAGAGCTGCCCTGGCAGGACGGCGCCATAGCGCCCGGGGTGGCGCATTTGCTCCCCTCTACATCTGGCAGGCTGTGCTCCACCGTGGTTGCCCTCGAAGTTCCACCTCTGGCCACATGGGGGTGCCCGCGCACCATCATGGCCTCCACTATCTGACTGCGGTGGCCTCCCCTGGTGGCAGGTTCCTAGGCCGTGTTTCTTCAGATTTCCATCATCTGCCTCCCCGTGTGCTGGTCCCAGCACTCCCCCATCTGTTCTTTAGGAACTTACTCGTGTGTGGTTGTAACAGCAGAGAGGAAGGGGCCTTCACATGCCCGAGTATCACTCCAGGATAAAGGGCACACAGCCTCTTATGTCACCATTTCTGAATAATAGTGAGTCACTGCCGGGCCTGAGCAGAGAATGTCCTGATCTTACTCAGAGCAATGACTTGCTTGAGAACGTGCCTTTATCTGTGGAGAGTGCGTGCATGGGAGCGGGGTGGAGGCAAAAATGCCAAAGGCTTCCTTCCCAGAACCAAGTGCTTCCTTAAAATCATGATGGAAAAATCTAAACGTACTTCTTTGTATTCCTCTGCTCCTGCCCACACCGCACGCCCCGTCCCTCCTTTACCCTGTGTTGGCAAGGAGAGATTCCCAGAACCAGACCCGCGTAGGATGGTGGTCTTCAAACTTTCTGGGCCATGATCTGCAACATTCTGAATCAGTCACATTTGTGTATAAATCTGTCTCAAGCAAGTTTCATAAAGGACCTGGGATACTCTCTATTTTCTATTTTTCATTTAAAAAATGCTGCTTGTAACTCACTAAATTGAGTTGATACATAGTTCAGGAAATACTGCTCTTGGCCCAACTTTCTACACTTTTACAAAACAAGGACACTGAGGCTTGAAGGAAGGATATGCCAGCTCCCATGAGGAAGGGTCATGGCCACACAGGGACTGGAGCCCAGGCCTTTCATCCAGCAACCTCCACCTCAGGCTCTTCCAGTGAGGTGACGGCTGCCAGCAGCACCAGCAGTGTCTTAGATAAAGTCTCACAGGCAGTGGCCCATAGGGCTGGCTCAGGCAAGTAGGAACTCAGTGCTGCTTCAGCCTCTGAGGTCCGAGCAGAAGCCTGGAGCTTGCCTGAGTGAGTGTTATGTGTCCTTCACAGCGGGGCTGGTGTGGACACTTTGTACAACATCAATTTGTTTAATCCCTTTGACCACCTGCAAGGTGGGTGGTGGGATCCTCATTTACTGAGGATTTCGAGACTGAACAGGCCAATGAGCAGCCCTGCTCAGAACGCAGGTCTTTAGGATTCCAGAGCTGTGTTCCCAGACAGTCTGCTGTGCCTCTTTCTGGCCAGGGAGCTCTCGAGTCCTCTGAGAAGTGGCAGTTTCCAGAGTCCAGTTCTGATTCTACTGCAAGAAGTTCACACGTGCGCTATGAATCTGTAAATGGCAGAAGGGCCCCTCCTTCGGGATACTTGGCACTTAGCATCTCTGGAGCAAGCATTATTACCATTTGTGGTGGGGCAAGAATCCAGGGGCTTTCCGGGTGGCTGTGAGCTAGATTCTGATTTTGAATCTGGGGGCGAATTCTGCTGCTGACTGAAAGTTCCATCGTCTCATCCTGCTGTTGCTTGTTTCTCCGTAGACGGTGCCTTATTCCCAATCTTGAGCCCCCCAATCAGCAGCATAATCAAAGCTGCCTACCACTGAAGGACTATTTCATAATGTTCCCTCAAGGGTTTTTTTCATTCTGGAACTTCCAGGGCTTGGTCTCTCTAGCCCGGGAGTTCCCTTCTGCTCTGCCTCAATCTCCTCCTTTCCCTGTTCTCAGGGAGAGCCAGGCAGAGATCCAGGAGGGTGAGAAAGAAGGAAAGGAGAAGCATCCATTAAACCTTGAGGGGCTACTTCCTAGAATTTAGTTTCCAGGAACAACAACAAAAAATTTTTCCTTCAAAATATATACAGCTTCACATGAGCTCTGCAACAGCTTTACCTAGCCATATTTTTTATCTTGAGCAGATGGGGGTCCTGCAGGCTTTAGTCCACTGGTAGAAAAGCTACCCTGTAGTGCCTCGGTGTCAGAACGAGCAAGTCACAGGAAAGCCCAGGGTGAAATGAGGGCAAGGTGGCCACGGTGGCAGGCCATCACCTGTGATCATCACCTGTCCATCCTGCAGATAAGACTGAGGAGGAAAGGGGGTCTTGGGAGGGCGGCTGCCTCCAAAGATCATGAGCCATGTAGCCATTTACCCCTGGCTGTCCACTCACCAAACAACACATTCCCTCTCCTCACAACTCTTCTGCTTTGAGTGCCACAGACTGTGAGGTTGTAGCCTGTGCAGGTGGCACTTGAAGAGTCACTCTGTTTGAATGACATTTCCATGGGGAAGAAGGAAGTCCCTGCAACCTATCAGCATTTGGCAGCTCGTCAGAACCTGAGAGGGCACCTACACCACTAAAGCAGTGAGAGCGTCTCGGTTGGTACTGCTCTGTCCCCGGAACTAGACTATCCTAGTTGGGGTGTGGATTTATCCCTCCGATGGTCCTGCCTGCTCTTATCTCACACCCAGGGACAGTCAGCACAGTCCAATTTCCATCTTCGCTTGCTTGTGTGGAGGCTTGAGTTGGACACTAGCATGTCCCTTGTCTTCTGCCGCACACTGTGTAGTCTCCACATAAAACAAAAACCCACTTCCTGCACTTTCTCCTCCAGAGCAGAACTCTCCTTCCACATTTATATCAGTCTCCTCTGCAAGATGTGTCTTCACCGGGTGAAGGGAGCAGGAACTCAAATCAGCGTATGTTCTTGGAAGACTTGGCAACAGCATGTGTCTTCCAGGGACATCCACATGCTCCAGGCCTCCTCAGCAGCTCCAGGTGGAGCACGAGAGGGAAACTCTGAGAATGCCTCAGCTCATTGCTAAGCAAGGTGCAAACTTGCTAATGCTGTCACCAGCGCATGACAGGAGTGCAAGGGGTTTGAGGAAGCGTTTCTGAAATTCTAGCAAGCCATGGGGGAAATGATCCCGTTAATGAAACCTCCCTTCCAGCCAACTTTTGGGAGTGCATCTGTTTGCAAAGCAGGTCACTGGGAATGTGCATGTCTCAGTGTGACCTGTGGACAGGAAGGGGGAGATTTAGAACATTGGATTAATTGCACCTGTGCTTATTCTTTGATTCCCAAGGATGAGCTTTGTTTAAAACCCTTGCGTTGCTCTTGTTTTAAAGGGAAGTCTCTGCATGTTTCCTGTCGCTTGTTGTGGGAGGGCTTAACACATTGTCATTTGCCGAAAGCTGTATGGAGTATATTTGAACAGCTAGTAGTTGGCTTTGGAAGAAGTGTAAACAGATGCTACATAAGCGTGTCAGCTTTGGTCCTTAGCTTTGCCCCACAGAAGCCTGGGAGGGTCAGTTACAAAATGTTTCGAGGTACACGAGGACAAGAGGAAGGACCCTGGGTAGCTGGTAACTAAGAGCCCAGTTTGCCTCCATTTCTCTGGGATGTGACGTGCACAGTCTGCTCCTGGGCGTGTCCATTTGGAAGAGCCATAGTGAGGGGACACCAGGAGCAGAGCAGAGCCTCTGCTGGGTTACAAGAGCCCATTCCTGCCCGTGCTTGAGTGAGGAGACGTGATTGCAGCTGGGAAGGTGAAGCTGGAACAGTGCTGAGAGGCTGTATCGGCAGGAGGACAGCACAGGGTGGGACCTTGCTGCCATCTGTACCATGTCCCTGCACTCTCTGCCACTGCTGGGGACCTCGGGGTCCCTCTGCCCCTTCTGGGGAACTCGTGTTCTGGGCTTCTGTC